GTTGGAGCCCAGGTTGGTCGTGAACTGGGCTCAATCGCATGAGGGGGGCCGGGGAAGGGAACAGCGCTGGTTGAAGCACCACATGGGACCACACCTGTTTGTTTAGGAAGGTGCTCTCGGGCGATGGAGGGCCATGGTGTCCTTTTTCATCCTTCTTCCCTCCATGTGCCAATGAACTGCGGACGAAAGAGAGGACGATGTAAGCCTTGCAAACTGGCTTGTCTCAGAGCAGAGGGGAGCCATGTTCCTAGAGTATCCTAGATTACATCGGGGTTTTTGTGTAGAATGACCAGTAAAATAGGCATCGGTGCATCCACTTCAAGACTTGCCGAGTCGCGTCCAGTCGCTGGAGGGGTCCGAAGAACTACTTCAAGGATTGGACCATGGCTTGGCCACTTCTGATGGGTGAATTGGGGTCCAAGGACCATGCCTGCACTGAAAGGAAGATCAATTGTATGGGGATGGGTCATGACCTGGAGCCCCAACACCAATTTCTGGTCCCTCCAGGTAGGTCAACCAAACTTTCTCCTGGTTTTGACCTACAGCCATCTCACTTGTCATATTGCTTCAGGTAAATATCAATAGGTTGACAGATGACCATTAATGGATGGGATGGTCACAGTGATAGACATTGCAAGCCGTTTGTAGGGTGAAGAACGTTGAAGAACGGGCACGTATACGGAATCGATATAGTACTCGTGATCCGTGGTAGTCACAAGTGAGGAATCGGAAGCCCCTTGAGCACTCCCGGACACTTGGAGCCCGTCAGGGGCGGCGCATCGCCCAGGTCCGCAACACCTTCTGGGCAGTCGAAGGTGAAGAGTGCCGCGAGCTCCGGCCCCAGCGCCGCTTCCACACAACACCCTCAGCGCCTCACGCCTAGCCTGAGAGGCTTTTTCGCTGAGAGATCGAACCACATCTGAGACATGTCGTGTTTTATAGCCCCTTCTTTTCCCACCACGATGGGTGGCCGTTTTGGGATGGATGCCCAGATGGCAGGATGCCAGTCAGGTCTGCATGAAACAAATATGTGATGTAATGTTGCAGAAATGCTGACCCCAAACAACCCAAGAAGCGAACCACACCTTTTTGGTCCGTGAGAATTGTTTCTTTGCTTTTTTCTCGGTTCCTGGGAGCTGCAAATCCAAGCTCAACAAGGCATCCACCCACCCAAGCAGGACTTGGTAGCAAATCGGACACCTGCGCCTCGAGCGGCTCCGATGAGAGAACACTTCGTCGGAGCTGGGGGTCCAAGCGTAGACGGCGTAGACTTGACAAAGCGACGTAGATGTGGTTCAGTATTGGAGTGTCATGACCTTATGGCGCGTACCGTTTTGGGGATGACAGGGACTGTTAACTCTATATTCTGACTAGACTCTATAGACATCTCTAGACTTATGGTGCCAACTGTGACATGAGCGTTACTTTCCTCAAAGATGGCGTTGGGGAATCTTTGACCCAGCCGGAAATGGACGCCAACTGCGTTTGACGCTCCTTGAGACCCCCCGAGGCTGCATGAAATTCAGGCTTCATGGAAAATACGTGAGGCTCCTGCCGGCTGGTGAGCCAGCGAGTTGTACAGTCCTCGCTGCCAGCCGTGGTGCAGAAAATGACTCCCAGTCGGGCAGGATTTTATAGAATTCACCGCGTTGAAGCATCGAATTACCTGTCCACCGGCCGCGCCCAGCTCGTGCATCCAAGCTGGCTTAGCTTGCTCGCGATGGGGCGACCGAGAGGAACCGCCCGGGAGCGACCGCACCCGGATGGACTCGTGTCCAGAACTTGCTGAATTTGTAAAGGCGGGTAGGTCCGACATGGTCCAAGGTCGGGACAGCTACTTGATGGATGGTGCATGTGTCTAGTCGCCAGAAGCTTCCTGGGCCCAGATGTATAGCTCCTGAGCTATGACATCTTCTGGAGGTGCAACCAAAAAGAACCGACGCTGCCCACAGACTGAATCCTACATGATTTGTACATGATGCATGGTGGAAGACGACCCCGTCTTGAAAACCTAGTAAAGTATCGCTCGATTTCGATGGATTCCTTGACGGTGAAGGTGGGTTTAAGCGCGCTTAAGCGCAGATGTGCTGGTGCAAGCTGAGCGCCTCAGGGTGAGTTGAGGTGCGAGATCGGGACTGGAATTTCCAAACCACTATAGGGACAATTGTTCAGTGGCTCATCAATAGCTCATTAACAAAAACATTGCAGTTACTGGTTCTTCAAGGTGACCTTTTGATAACCTGCTTTGAGGTCACTGAAGCCTCCTACGGGTCACTTCGGAACCTTCAAAAGGTCACTTTGAAGAAGCACTGTACCTTGTTTGGTTCAATTGGGAGAAAACTCTTGGTGCCGCTCGGACACACATCGAACATGACCTGGGAGACGGGCGATGCTGGCAGGTTGAGTTAGTCGGAAACTCCTCCAAAGCGTTGAAGTTTTAGGAATGGAGATCTTGCGGAGTGAGGCCCGGCCGCAGCTCAGGTGGTTGTCCTGCTGATTGCTCCTGGGCTTTCAGAAAGCTGAGGTATGGGGAGCTGTTTCAGCTGTGGGAAATCACCATCACCTGGGCCGAAGCGGGGTGATCAATTGCAAGTACAGTTCATTTGACTGGAGTGTTGCTGTTGCGCATGTGCTTGTGTTTGTTGTTGGTGGTGGTGCTTAACACATGCCTCAACTATTCAACTGCCCAAGCAGTTGAAGACAGCTCGTGCAACACAGCGCTTGAGACGGTAGTGTGCTGCCAGTGGGTCATTGCGCCCATTATAGCATATTCGATGATATTCCACAGCGTCCCGTATATTCACGCTCCGGTTTCTGGGCTTTTGGCAAATCCTTGTCGTATATCTCCCGGTCCCACTGAATAGCTTCAGTTGCACCAAAGTTGGTCACTAGTCATTCAGAATCCGTCCCTTTCAGAAGCTTCTGCTGACTTCGTCAGAGACTTCGGCAGAACTCTCACCAATTCTGGGATCATTCCCTCATCTTCAGTCTCTCCTACCTTGGACCCACCGGACAGACATACCTAGCCAGAAGGAACATCCCTCCGATCTTGGGACTTCAGTCCCTTCACCCTCCGCAGGGAGTTCTCATCCTCTCACCCAGTCCTGGTCCTTAGGATGAGGTCGATTGCTTGGCCACTCGAAATCAGGCGCGCGCCTTACTGGCGGCAGCGGGGGGTGTTCAGCTGGACGGCGTGCCCGGCGAACCCCGGTGGGACAAACAGGGGTGATCCTGTCTTCGGTCCCTGGGCCGAAGGTGATCCTTCCCGCTGAATTGGCAGATGCTCCGTATATGCTCCGTGACACTTTTGTTTGGTTCAGCCTGGGTGCAATCTTTTAGTTTTATAGGACCTTCATGGTTCGTGGGTGTATAGTATATATGGGAGTTGATCGAAAACCCCGTGTAAGGAGTTTTATATAAAACAGCCTTTCAGATGTTGTTAGAACCATCCGCGAAAGATTCGCGATGAGGTTCGCTAAATGTATCTTTTTTTTCCGCGAAAGATTTATCGAAGGTCATCGCTTTCATACGTTTTCCTTTCTAAGGGACTGACAAAGAATAGAAATAGAAGGCAATCTTCCGGCAGAGCTGGTGGGCGGAAGTGTCCCCATATGTCACAGACTAACGAATTGAAGCCTCAATATTTCCGTGCCCAGCCCTGGCAGTGCGTAAAGGATTCTCCGATTCCAGTCCCCACTGTCATAGACAAGCAACCTGAGTAGGCGCAGCCCTGACAGTGAGGCAACGACCTGCAGCTGCTCTGACGGGCTGTGCAGATGTTTGCATACGGCTTCCCCGGGAAAGCGCCAGTGAAATTTCGCGAAAGATCCGCGAAAGTTTCGCGAATGTGCCGCTAAAGTCCAGGTCCCCAGCTTTGAGGCCCCCCAACATTCCCCAAGCTGCATCACCCTGTGTTGGTAGCTGGCACGAGGATTGGGTTGAGTTGCTCCACAGATGCTGCAAGTGACCCTGAGTAGCTGTGGAAACATTCAACTGGTCATGCTGCAAGATGTCTGTCCCTATGACATGTTCCGGCTCATGTTAGCTAGACATGGTTGTAGGACCATGCTTCGCGATGAGGCCGCGAAAGATCCGCGAAAGATATCTTTTTTCCGCGAAGAATGGCCATTCCAGGATGAAAGAATATTGATCAACCACCATATATATATATATATAATTCATGTTTCAGGTCTGGCAGGCTTGGGTGAACATGGCTTCATTTCTAACATAGCCTTGAACTAACGAACATTTTGGCTCAAGTGCCTTGGCCAAATTGCGTTTGTTCTCCCTTTTCCCACCCCACCCACCCTGGAGTAAGGGCCCCCTCTGGGATCTCCCTTAGCGAGCTAGCCTGGGGCATGCGCAGGGAACTGCGATCTGTCACAGAGATGGGTGGTGGAACCAGCCCCTACCAACTATTTATAAAGACCCTAGGTCAGGGCTGATGACCGGAGTGACCGGTCGTGGTTACCGGAGTGACCGGAGGTTAGCCACTGTTGGTCTGACTGTGACAGACCTACCAGTGCAGGTTACCCAACGCAAATCCTGCAGAGGCTTGCAGGTTGACAAAAGAGACCTTGGCAAGTGGACAGTAAAAAGGAAGTGAGCCGTAGCGACGAAACACGAGCTTGGATAGACATGTATATATAGTTACTAATGGGAGGAGCTGTCCAACCGAGCATTATGAGACGGATGGAAGTGGATCCCATGACGAGTGGTCCCTGTACAAGCCAAGCGTTGAACTCTGTCCGCCGAGTCCCTGTGTGAGCGTGGTGTGGACTTTTGAAAGCTCATCACATACAAGATCAAACTGGCTTCAGAGTTTGCAGCTGCAGATGTATTGCTTGACATTATTCGCATCAATCATCATAAGCTATTAGTTTCTGGTCATGTTATTATCAGTTTGCTCAGTCGATTTTTCAGGCACCACCGGCTCTGTTGTTTCGAGTGGGCCCTCCCTATGGATCGGACGGCCGACTCTTGGCAGGCGACCCCTACAAACTGGAAGACTATCATGGACCCTGAAAACCACTTGTTGGTGAGGAAAATCGTCTTCCATGGGGCCATTGGAGAAGGGTCTATGTTAGCTTTCGGGAGTGTAAGCCTTTGCAAATCTTTGCAACCACCCCAAGGTCGTAGGTAAATATGCCAGTTTCATGGGACGTTTGGGTTTGGCAGGCCATCCTGTACCGGATCTTCAGCTTGATCACCTTGCCGAGACCCCAACTGGAGCCTTGGCCTTCCGCGTGTTGGACTGGAGCGGGTTGGTAGGACCGGAGCAAAAGGGGGGTGGTTTTCTCATGTTTTCTCCGGTGCCAAAAGAACAGACATGATTCGGACTGACCCTTTATCATGGCATGTTGTATTTCATACCCACTGATGGAGCGATTGAGAATTGTAAGTACAAGAATGTATATACAATCTTCCAGGGGGCCAGTGTCAGGGTCCATGTTGGTTTTCAGAAGGATACTTCCAGCGGAAAAAGGCAGTATCCCTGTACCCCTGGACAATCCGTTGGTGCATGACAAGCCTAGCAGGTGTGACTCAGAAGGGGGGTAAGACGCTGTGACATACGCCACGTTTGGAATTGGAGTGCAAGAAAAAAAACACCCAAGCAGTTCCACGTCGGGGTATAGGTTTTTAGACCAGAAGTGAGTGGATCATAAACACCCCGACTTCTTGCATGAAGCACGGAACTGCGTGGGAGGAGATGATCTTCCGGGGATACCCAGAGACCCAGTTCCTCCAAGAACCACTCCTTCGCAACTGGATTTGGAATCAGCAGTTGGGTTGATGGGCAAGCACCGAGCAGCAGAATGGATGTGTGCTCACCAAGCGGTGCAGTTCAACTGCAAAGTTGGACCAAATGAGACTACAGGTACAGTGAATGGAGAGTAGATGGCACAATCACAATCCCCCTGTAGACCCCTATAGGCTCCGATCTAAAAAACATGTTGTGCCATCTACTCATACTCTGAATCCAGTGTCACTGTGCCGTGCTTGACTTCCGAGTTTCTCCAAGAAGAGTCCGCTGCAGCCAACACACCAGCAGATCCCTGCCCACACTCCTTGCTTCGACCGTGATTTGTTTCAGAAAGGGCGAGACCAAAAGCCGAGGCGTTAGTGGCCATCTCCAATAATATCGACTTGCCAGAGCGTTTGTTGCCCAAGGCCGGGGAGGGAGGGAGGGAGGGAGGGATTGGTTTTGATCGAGAGTCGGCCGAGGCGACCGTTGGATTGCGGGGAGTCTGGCGGTCTGACGGGTCTTTGCAACGGTCAAAAGCTGAGCAGCTGGGTGGACAGACCCACACACGCAGTCAAGTCGTCCTTGGATCTGATCGATTTGTGTGTTTCATTCTACCCTAGAACAAAAACAACCTGTTCATCACCAGAAACGCATCCTAAATGGCCGCATCAAACGGCTAGGATCACCCTGGCTATGGAGGTGAGGGTCAGTGGGGGAGGGGGGCGTCATTGGGAGAACAACGTAGCACATCTCCATGCCATTACAGGCATCCATCTTGGGTCTATCCTATTATATACCAGTAACAGTCTGTAAACAGTTATCACATAATATCACAAATTTTAGAGAAAGGCCTTTACTAACCATCATCATCATCCACTGTTAGTGGTATTTATTTGGATAGACCCAAGCTAAAGTGCTTTAGCTCTTCGATTTGCTAAGGCTCCCAGCACTCACTGAGTTTGTAGGTCTACAAAACCGCATTAGGAAATTAGGAAATCATGCTTCGCTTCCGAAGTTGGGGCGCGAATTCCGCCCCATCCGCTGGCACAATGCTGGCTTTGCAACATGAACCAGGTCCACATAAAGTGGGGCCCCCCTGGCACACATAGAAAACACACCTATCGTATCTTTTTGCATAAAGACCCCCCCCAAAAAAAAATAACTTCAAGAACTGGTCCAATCCCTCAAAAACTTCAAGTTGGCATCTCACCATATCTCACCTAGCTCCCCATGCCACCTTCGCATACCGCATAGCTCCACAAGCTGAGCGCAGTCACCGGTCGTTCCGTTCAGGTCTGCACACGCTTGGGCTTCGACCGGGTGGACTTCAGAAGCTACACGCGGCTCGGCGGGCACGGCCTGCCGCCACGGCCGGACGGATGGCCGGGCAGGGGATGAAACCCAGCGTTCGTTCTGGTGTTGTTGACGTATGTGACATGTTTGGTGAGTCCAGTTGGTTAGTCGCCTTTTTGGTTCCTATGCCAGACCGAAAATGTGAAAAAGAAGAATCATTCAGAGCTGTGTCTTCCTGAGATTGAGATGATGTGCTTCTTGGATGACCCCCATGAAGCAAGAACAACGGAGGACTATTATTCTGATGGGTTCTTTGAATGCCGAAGATGCCGAGGAGAGATGAAATCCTTGAGATTCTTCAATCGCGCCTGGAGACTCATCAGGCGGATGTGGATGAGACTGGCGGTGTGGTCTTCCAATCCTCCCTGCCTTATCCTCTCGCTCTGGCTTCTTCCTCGAAGAGAGTGACGTTTTTCAATGCAAGCCGTTCCGATCCGACCAAGTGGGGGAACTCTGGACTTCACACTGCCAACGGCTCGGAGGTCCCTGCCACCAGATTCCTGCACCACCCATGCTGGGTGCCACATGCCTCCGAATTCCACAAGTCGATCCTTCTGACATTAAAGGGTGTTCCAGCTGCCTTCACCCCATAGTTGCCTTGAAGCTGAAACAGGTGGCACAATGAAGCTCCACATGGCGCCAGGTGCTTCAGTCAGACGGCTTAAACACCTTCGAAATGGCCAAATAGGAAACCGCACCATTGATTAACATGGTGTAACCCGTGAAATCCACCAATTTTTGCAGCGGCTGAACCATATCAATAGCCTTTTGCTGGCTTGAACCCTTTAAATTGGATCCATCTCTGTGTATTATCCAAGTGCCTCCTCAGCAGGTATTTGGACCCTCCAAACCCACCCCAAACACCTTCTCAGGAGGTACGACTGAAGCCCAGCTCGGACCAGCTTCCCACCATTCCACGCCGCCCCCGCACGTCGTGGCTCTCCCCAGTCACGGTCACAGGCGTCGGAGGCCTTTCGATCCGATACCTTGAAGTTCTGCGCCGCACGTGTGGCGGGTCACTCCGGCGATGTGCGGAAGGCCGCCATGGACCGGAGCCGGGCGATGTGCTCGGCTTCTGAGAAGCAGAGGGGGAAGAAAAGCCAGTTTGATGTGCTGCAGACATGCTGGGAAGGATGTAGTCTAGAGAGGGATGTTTGTGCTTTGTTGTGGTTTTTGAACCTCAGGTGAGCCTTTCGATTTGGCCCATTTGACCATCATGTGTCGGCGGATCGGCCTGTTTCACTGGCATGACTTTGCAGTATAGCAATGTAGAGCGATTTGTATGTTCTTTTTCTTTAGATACAGACATGCTATGACATGCTTGTATCATTTTATATCATAGTTTATACAATTAGTGTGTTGCTTTCAGCATGTTTACTTGGATGTGAGACCATAGCACCTTGATAGCTACCTTGATATTTCTATAGCTATAGCTGAGTGGCTCCATTTTGCACCGAACATGGAGCATTCCTTTTGAGCTCAATGTTCACGCCATTCACTTCCATGATTCCAGGGAGTGTAACAGTGTAGTGGGTATATACACACCTTGGACAAAGCTACGTGGCACTATAGTGAATCTTCTTTAACCTAATATATATGAGGCGCTATCTATATAGTGAATCTCTCTTAACACTCTGAAACAGGCACTAGACCTAGTAGTAACAGAATCACTTGCTACCAGGGCCCCCCCGGGCCCCGGGGTGTTCAATAAGAGGGGGCTCCCTCGGCACCAGGCACTGCAGCTCTGCCGCCGTGCGTTGGACTTGCGCCGGGACGGCCAGAGCCAAGAGCCGGTGCCTGGGCGGTTTCAACGGCGTCCGCCGGGCGTTTGGTGGCGGTGTTGGCGGGTGGAATGGGATGTTCTGAAGGATTGAAACTTGCAACTCCAAGATCTTTTGTTCCAAAGGTTTAGGCGTCTCCAAGTTCTTTTTGTTCCAAAGGTTTAGGCGTCTCCAAGTTCTTTTTGTTCCAAAGGTTTAGGCGTCTCCAAGTTCTTTTTGCTCCAAAGGTTTAGGCGTCTCCAAGTTCTTTTTGCTCCAAAGGTTTAGGCGTTTGTGAGATCTTTTGCTCCAAAGATTTAGGATGGTTTAGCCGTTTTGGCCGGCAGGGGGATGTTTCAAAGAACGTGTTGACTTCGATGTGTCCACTCGAATGTGCTGAGAACTTCTCAGGTTGGGTGTTTCAGATAACAAGGTCTCATCCAACACTCACAACATTTGCCGGGGTGTTCAAGAGTGTTCAAGACTTTGAGGACTCAAGGTTGTTCAAGCCAGAAAGGAAGGACGACCCTCCAGCCAAGCGAGTCAGGAATTCGAGGTGGGACTTAGGCTTCAGGTCATGCCAGGTCACCAGCAAGCAAGTATAGTGGTTTCAGAGTAGGTGGCACAATCCCAAAATTTGATGGTTCATATTGAGCTCCATCTGAAGGACATCTCGAGGTTTACCACATCTACTTCTGAATCCACTGTAAAACCCACATCCCAGTGATTTCCCGTGTTCTCCACGCAAGTGTGAAGCGTTCCCCTTAGGGCTCCAAGTCTCCAGTCGTACCTCCTCGGTATGACTGGACCCTCCAGGAACCCATTTGGGGTGTGCCTCGAAACGAAGGTACGACTGGGTCGCCCAAACGGGTTCTTGAAGTTCCCAACTGGCAACCCCGCTGACCTCAGGTCACCATCCACTACCTACGCCGAGCGGACGAGGATCTCCTCCAAGCCAATCCCTGCGTGCGCGCCGTGGGCGGCCTCGGTCCCTTGGCGTCCCCGGTTGGTTGGTCGATAGGTTGGAGTAGGTTCCAAAATCATAATTACCCAAGGTGTGCCTGGTTGCAAAGTGCTTGTTCTCTCCGCTGAGACTGGAAGCATGTGATGATGTATATTGTATAGACTACCATTATATAGTACTACCATGACAATTAATTTGCATAAGTTTTGTATATGCATTGCGGATGGTTTCGAAATAGCAATTGATTTGTGGACGTCTATTTTGGGGAGGTCCGACCTGCGTTTTCTAGGACCCTTGACGAAGAAGTTCGGTCCATTTGTCCGTCATAGTGCCAAGTTGCGCCCAGTGAAAACATGGCATTGACATGGAATGCATGTGTTCATGACAACATTTTATCGAGGCATGGCATGTACATGGCCAATAGGAATATGCTGTTTAAAGAATATTGTTTGATGCAGACTGATTGCACATGAGGTCCCTTTTGGGTTCTTCAGCTCCTTAGCCGGCTCGCAAGCACGGGCTCAGCCTGGTTATCAGTGCCAAGGACGTTCGAGACCCCCTGGTTGGACTCTCTATCGAGACCTTCATCGGTGTGCCCACTATGCTTAGCATCTGCCAAATGCCCCAGGATCATGTTTGTCTCAATATGTTCACCACCACTTCAGGCTTTAAAACATACATAATCATGACTTTCCGATTCTCCTGGCCCGATCCAGTCGACACGAATAAAGATTCCTCACATCCAGCGCTCTGCTTTTCGGTTGAGGTGTGAAGCCTCGGCTCTTCTTGTTGTCACTTCTGCTGGAGATGAGCTCCTCGGCTTCGGGCGAGCGGCGGCGTTTCAGCGGCGTTTCGGTTGGGTTCCTTCGGCGCTTTCAGCAGGAGACTGCCTGTGGATGGAGTGGGCCCCTAGTGGATCTTCAAAGGAGGCCCAAAAGGAGAAGAACAACTAGCGTGTCAATGGTTTCAGGATGTGGTTTCAGGATGTTTCATTCAGGCGTCAGTGTTCAGTGTGGGGATTTTCAGGCAAAGCACAGGGGGGCCCTTGACCAAGACCACAGTGGGCCCACGCATTCGCTGAGGGGAGCATCAAGCCGAGCAAATGCATGCCAAGCTGCTTGGAAGAACTACAGGTCAGCAAAAGGGCCGTTCAGAACAGCAAAAGGCAACAGCAAGCTTGGGACGTGATCGACCACCAGAACCTGAAATCCAAGAGCTTGCACCCAGAGATGTTCAACCCCCTTGCCGTGAAGTCAAGAATCAGAATGCCTATGAATGCTAGCTGGCGGGCATGTATGACATTGTTGGGATACCTTGGCCATTGGTGGACCTTCCAAGTACCCCAAAACATCCACAAACTATCAGAACTTTCTGGTCCATTGGGCCCTCCAGCCTGTTGAGCTGTTCCAGCCTCTGAAGGCATCTTCATGTCTTCAGCAGCTGAGGAAGGTGGCACAAAGATATGTCAAGCTGCACTTGGCCAGATCAGCCTTGGAGCAGGAGCGAGTCTTGTTTCGCCTGTCGGGCCCATGGGTGGGGTGGTATGGGGTGAGAACATGAAGTGAGTGATGCATGAAGACAGGGACCAACATGCCTTGCGCGGCCTTGCGGTTTGTGAGGTTCTCCATGGTGGGTGATGTCAATCAAAGCTGCCACATGGATCAGGCTGAAAGCAGATGCTTTTTGTAAAGACGGGGTGTCTATAATATTTTTTGTATAGACCGTTGACCTTCAAACCCGATTCTGGGAGGTCCATATAATTATACAATAGTGCCATAAAGTTCAAAGCATGTCAAAATCCAACCTGCAGGGATTCTCCTGCACCGCTCCCCTGCCTTTCACGGAGTGTGGAGCGAGCGAGTGAATCATGGGCTGGCCGTCGTGGAGAAGTCCCCTGGCGCAGTGAACTGGGTACAAATGGGTGTGTGGCCTAGATTGCCCTTTACATTGGTTGATGCATAGAGGGGATACCCCAAGTGTACGACCAATTGGTATATGGTACCAAAACGACCCCCTATTCTTTCCAAAAGGACATCATTGATGTGTTGTGCTTTGGTTTCAGTGGTCGTGCCATGTCATCTTGCAACTGCAGTAGCTACAGTAGGTCCTGTTTGAATTTTCTTGCTGTCACTCACTGTTAGATCCTGCAGGTGTCCTGCAGTGGATCCATTGGCAAGAAATCCAGGAGTCTTTTAACAGCCCTAGGGCTCCAAGTACCTCCTCAGAAGCCTCTAAATCCACCCCAAACACCTTCTTTGAAGGTACTTGGAGCCCTAGAGCAGTGCTTTGGCTCATAGATTGAACGGTGTAACATGGTTCGCAAGATGGCGGTGGTGACTTGGCCATATGGCGGCCATGCCCATGTTCGCCCGAAGGAAGAGCACCTGCACACTCAGTTTTTACGGAGGTGCTGTTGGTTCCCTGTTGGTCAAAGCATGTAAAAGCTGGAGATAAACCCCAGGAACTTGGTTCCTTTGCCGCTTCCTGAAATGTTCAAATCCCCCAAGTTGGGGCTTCAAAAACATAGGGAGGCGAAGTGCCCTCGCACGTGCTGGTAATTAGTGGTGGAAAATGGTCCTCTGAAAGATCTGAAAGACTTTTCCGACTTTCTCCTGACCTGGGGGGGTGAAGTCCACGTGTAGGTCCGAACTTGATCGTTGTTGAACAATTACGTGAACACTGCACCGACCTGAATCAAATCATGTAAACGCAAGAAGACTCTGCAGGATGTGGAATTTGACCTCCGTGGGCAGACACTCAGGGGCTACGATGAGGTGCGACTCTGGAATTGGGTCTATTATGATGGTGTATGTTTTGAACGAGGTTTTTTAGGTTGTCCTGAAACAACATGAAACAACAACGGATCCGGATGAAGTGGAAAGGCATGCTGCCCCTTCGCAGTGGGAATTGGGTCTAAAAAGAACGGTTTGAACCATTCGTAGCAATTCTGGTGAGTCAAAGTGTGTGTCCGAAGTCAATCCCAAACAGTCAAAGTGTGCCCTGAAGAAAACGAGGTTTTGGACCGTGTTCATTCAAAACTATTCGTTTGAACCCATGGCTTGGAGGTCCCAAAAGACCAAAAGACCTGTATGGCCACTGACTTTGACCCGGAACCTGAATTGCAAGACCAATCCAATGCGGGAGAGGCTTCCAAGACAAGACCCCTCCAACTTTGCACCTGAAACATTGTGAAGCCCCTTCAAATGCATAAAGAAATCCATTCCTCAAAAGCTTTTTTCATTCAAATCTAAGAAATCGTAGGAATGCATGTCTTTGTGCCTCAGTGTTTTTGACCCTCGAGGCTGCAGCTTAGGCGTTCTTTGGTAGAAACAGGCGGATTTTCCTGCCTAAATGAAGCTGTGCAAAATTGTTGCCCAATGAGGTTCTAGGTATCTACCGAATGGCCTTCAACAGAACCTGCTTCTTCACCCCTAACTCACCCTTGGCTGGTCGCTTAAATGGGTGTCGCTCTAGTCTACCTCGTTCGCAGGCGACCACCTTGATGGAACGCCTTGAGGCTTGCACTCTGCTGAGGAGGCACTATGTGAACCCTAGCTGCTAATCAAGATGATGGGATGGTCTTTCAAGAGAATGGTCGTACGATGGCCATGCAACAATTTGATTGCTTAGCAATGGTGGCATGTACAATGCAGGATTCGCACTTCTGCGAATCCTGCGGTCCCAGGTGAAGGATTCAAATGTCCCTCTTGCAGATGCAGGATTCAATGAATGTCTAAAAGTCCTGCACCATACCAGGCCCCCTTTGGCTGCAAGATCTTTCCTTCACATGCCCCGATTTGTGTTTTGTCATCCATCTCTGAAGGGTGGTGTCATTTTGTATGTGCAACCTTTGCCTTTACCGATGAATTACTGTTTTGCCCATGGGAAACTCACAGTCAAGGTCGCTTTCTTTCGTGATTCACTCCCTAAGGAATGATGTGGTGGACGAGACCGGCATCACACGAAGATCGGTGGGCTTCAAGACTCGGCAGTTTCACGATTTGGTGTTTGTTTCTTGTTGGAGCGGCCTAGTATGGTGTTCCTCCTTGTCGAGTTTATGCATGTGTGCCCCTGTGAAGCCAGCTTTTTCCGTGCTTGCACTCCTGCTCCCCTCCCAAAAAATCCCATGCTCCTTCCTTCCCGCTAGTGTCGCCCCCCCCCAAAAAAAAGTTCCCCCCAAACCGGCCGACCGGAGTTCCGTGCCGGATGCCGAGTTCCCGCGTTCCCGCCGCCGCCATTGCCGTGACGGATGAGATATGAACAGGGGCCGTTCCTGTCCCTGAACAGCCTGGACATGGACGACCTCTCAGTGGCCCTGCAAGACGCCGAGACGGACCCGGTCCTCGTGGACGCTCGGCGAGCGAGCGATGACCGCGATGACCGCGGGAGTATAAGGGGGGAGACTAAGAGGGTCCGATGCTCGGCTCCGGTCGGTGGGACTGGGGTGGCGAGGGTCGGTGCGTCGTGCCTTCTGAGAAGGTATGACCTGGATCCGGTGACGAGATCAGACGAGATCTGAGATATGACTACCAGCTTCTTCAGTACGTGACCTTTTGAAGGTTCCCAAGTGACCCTTAGGAGGCTTAAGTGACCTCAAACCAGGTTATTAAAAGGTCACTTTGAAGAACCAGGTACTTGTTCTTCAAGGGGGACAGGAAAGTGTTTGTTCTTGTCTCATGGGACGGACATGACATGTTGATGTCCGTGCTCAAAGAGATAGAATCATAGAAAGGTCGTAGAACGCAGCTCTCAGGAACTCGTGCGGAAAAGTGTTTGCCAACAGGTTTTGCACTTGCACTGTGAAACCTGTGTCCTGCTACCTGCCAATCACTGGTTTTTCACTGGATGGTTTCCTTGCAGGTGACACTTCTCCTGTTACCAGACGCAAGCCTAACTGGTGAAACACGGTCATCACTGGTGATAGCTTTCAATCATTTGCTGATGAAGCTGGCCACAAGAAACCGCCCGGGGTGAGCCTTGTCCAAGGATTTGCTGACCAAATGACGCGCCTTCAGGCTGTCGGTCCAGCCGATGCAGCCAGGCAGCCCCACCAATTGGAAGAGGTAGCAGATGGTAGCAGATCCTGGTCGCAGCAGAATGGTAGCAGGTGTGTCCAAGTGATGAATGACTCGTGTTCTTCGGATGCTTCACCTGGTGTCGGTGACTTCCAAAAGGTCAGACCGAAGTGAACGGGATAGGAAACATCGGAATACTATGGAATAATACCGCATATTTGTTCTAGAATCAAGATGAATCAAGTAGATCAAAAAGAGGTCTTGGACGTTGGGTGGTGTCATGCAGGATTATTTGGCGTGGAATTTGCCCAAAAAAGAACATTCGCCTCTTCAGTAGGGCCGCTTTTCATTGCGCTGAGCGACGCTCGGCCTCGCCAATGTCCTTGAAAGCCATCCGTGGCTGAAGTCCATGCTTGAGCTGCTGAGTGGTTGCACAGTGCTGAGGAAGACATGGGCAGCTTAAACAAGACAGACATGCCAGGTGCTCACGAGCCACGTGCCTACCAACCTTGAGGATTCCAATAAAGTGTATATTGACCTGAATGGAAATGATTGGAAATGGACAACCCCTGTTTGTAGAGGAAAGTTCACGTCCAGTCAGCCCGAGCATACTATAGTACATTTGTTGATGCCCACTGCTATCATGCACATATTCCTTTGTGCCATAATGAATCGATTGAGTTTGTTAGGAGGAGGTACCGTGTAGGCAGACATTTTGAGCTAGTATGGGATGCTGACGTGTTTTTCCCTCACCAAACGCGGATGACTTCTTTCCGTTCGTTCAAACGGGTCACCTCATCAAACGGGTCACCTCCCAAACGGGTCACACAACCTGTTGGTGACTAAGACTAGGACTAAGATATGTTGAGCCCAGTCTTAAACCCATGGATCACAAATCCGTTTATTGAGCCCATCTAGTGACTAAGCGAGGAGCCAGATGATTCCTTGGAACCGCCTAGAGATACCGGAAGACCTGTCGAGATATACCGACTGGACCGGCGCGAGCATGGACCAGTGATACTCACTGTGACTCATTGAGAAACAATGAGGCGATGAGAGGAGCCAGCTGAAGATCTGTAGAAGGGCCGAAGATCTGTATAGAAGTTTTCTACTATAAGTTGACTGTAAACAAGTTATGAAATAAAGTTGCTATGGCTGTGTTACCTTTAGGCTTATTCCAGGTACAACCATCGCAGACCTTTTGAAAACACTCAAACCGGCGCCCCCGGGAACCGGAACCTAGTCCGGAAGGACCCGGGTGTTTCAATTGAGCATCACTTGCAGACAGGATTGGTCATGCGTGGACTGAAGCTCATCCTAGACACAACTTCAAACTTTCTTGATTGATTCTAATTTGGGGTGGGCTCATCCACCCCTTGGTTGCTTCCTCCCCACTTGCCAAGTTCCTTATGCAGTCCTCGCGCCATGAGCAACGACTTTGCTCCGCTCATCCGGGGGGATCTGAGTTCGGCCGTCAGCCATGGCGGCCTTGTTGTTTTTTTCGGTTGAGAGCTGGCGCAGCGGCGATTGTGAAGCTACCTCATTGTTTGGGCGGGGGGGAATTCCAACAGGTGGAAAGTTGGGGAAACCATTTCTTTTCCAGGAACACCGCTTGGGGGCCAGATGCAGGACCTCGTTGAGCATGCAGAATCTTGCAGGGATTGGTGAAGCAATGCTTGGATTGGCAAAGCGACGCAGAGGTGAGTTGCTGAGAGGTCCCAGGAGGCTTGGGATTGTTGACGTGCCGTGCAGCATTCCCACAGGATGGTCTCAGTATCGTAGACTTTTGGCCAAGCATGAAGAGGTTTTACATGGTTTGACAGTCCAACAGGGGGGTGCATTTTCATGAACAGTCTACATTAGGTGAGAGCACATGGAAAACATGGTGGTTCCAAGACTTGTCCATCAATGAGGAAGTTTCTTGAAACGCCTTATAGTGAATTTGCCCTCTACACTGGTGTACCTCCAAGTTAACATACAGTAACTCCCACTTTAAGTGATCATGCTCTCCTTGCCTGTTTGGAGGGAGGTCTTTGTGCATCCGTGTGGGACAGACGCCACGGATGATAGAACTTTCAGGGCCCCACCTGCTGCTGAACAGTCTTGATAGCCACACATTGAGCCGCTGTGCCCTCTCATGGGGATGGGAAGGCTCGCCAGGTAGCGCTTGCGGGGGCGGGGCAGAGAAAAAGCACATGAGCTCCATGTCGCTTGGGGCAGCGGAAGCCAAGCAGATTCGGGCCGACCATGGAGACATCCGGAGACCACGGCCTTTCAGTAGAGGTTGGTGGATTCTTTTGAAACAGCATGGTCCTGGTGCTGGTGTTGGGGTAGGTGAAAAAGCACTTCGGACTTCGGCCCTCAGGCTCCATTTCCGACAGGGCGAGAGAGGTTTTTGAGTGTGTTTTTGTTTGGAGACCCCATGCAACAATGACCAGCAGGTCATTAGCAGGTTCAAGTGTTGGTCTCCACATCCGCTTTGCTGGCGCACTTGTTGATATGAGGGACAAATGGGCCTCCCCACCCTAGCAAGAAAAGATGGAGCAGTTACATGTAGTTACTGTAGTTCTTTGAACAGCTTTGGGCCATTCCAGGTGCTCCAAGAAGTATCGCCTTTTTCATCAACCATCCTTTCTTTGCTCCTCACAAGTCTCGCAATCTCAACGAGCCCCACGCTTGTGGAGGGACGCGCTTTTCTCCACTTCGACTCGCCGGCACCTCTCCGACGGCCGGATCAGCCTCGGCCTTTTGGCCACGGCCACCACTCGAAGCGCTTGGCTTCAGGCCGATGAGCTGGTCCTGTATGGGTCCCCTCTTTGTGGTCCCTCCGCACCCTGGCGAGCCGGTGATTTTTGTGAAGTCTTACCCAGGTTGAGAGGGGTGCAGAAAACACGGGATTGGAAGGCCACTTTTTGGCTCAAATGCTGCCGGTGCGAAGTTGATCGATTGGAGATTATTGGAGCTTCTTACTGATTCAAAAGAGGGTGCACTCCAAAAGTCCTACCTCCATCTACCTTCCGTGAAGTGAAGGCCCCTCCCGTGAAGTGAAGGCCATGTTGATTCCTGCACCTTGTGGCTTTAGAGAGACACAGTCGCTCGTCCTTCCGTTCCAACTCGCCCTTCTGTCGGTTCCGCCGCCGGAGTTCTCACCGCGGGCGGACAAGGCCCTTCCCAGCGCCCTTCGTGTCCTCGGTGCGTGAGATGAGCACCACGCTGTGCAGGTGCGGACGACTGGTGCGGAAAGATGGAGATATCAGGCTGTTCGATGAGACCAGAGCTAAGGGTATATTAAAATCTGGAGGTTATCTTAAGATAGAGTTTACATAATGATCCAGAGGTTCAATCAATGTTTGATTTCAAAAACTGTTTCGTTAGCTCAAGTTTGTTTTAGTTTCCTTCTTCCAGGGGGTCTTCCAGTGGTTTCCTTAAAGGAGGTCTTACCGACATCACACGGTCACGCTGGAAGATGAAGACGTGGTGCACCACCTCAGACAGGTTCACCCCGGTGGGTTTGGGTTTGGTGGGGGCCATGGAGAAATGTACCGATCCGATCTCCAGAATCTATAATATCACTGATGTCGACTGAAATTAGCCAGATAAGTTCCCTGGTGTTTTTCCTCTTCACTCTATCCTTTGCAGACCAATCTACGGAAAGAAAAAGAAACGAACTGGTCGCGTAGTAGGTTGAACACATCAACTAGCAAAACACGCCTGAGCAATGGAGCATCGGATGAGTGTCCTCTCTGCAGATGTTTGAACCGCAGGATAGTCCAGCCAGGATGGTCCAAACCGGGATGGTCCTGGTTGGATCATGAAGACGTTGTTCACATCATGTATATTCCAGACCAGATGGATTCACCTTCAAGATGGATTCACCCTCAACAGGCTTCTTGACCGAACCCGAGGCAACAGGCGAGAGCCCTGCGGCGGGTCTTGGACCGCGCGAAGCAATTACGAGATGACGGAGCGGCGGGGGGGGTGATGGGCGTGGCCTGTCCGACAGGAGTCCCTATGGTGGTGAAGGATGGTGAATTGAGCTCACTTGGTTGGATTTGGCCATGCTTTTCGGCATGCAAGGAAACGCCCTTGCTTACTCAAGGAGATGCATGGAGATGATTTCGAAGGGTTTGTGTTAGCTGTCCGGGGGTCAGTTCCAAAGTGCTTCGAGGCCGGCCTCCAACAAAATTAGAACATACCTTCCAAACCCTCAGTTGAGCAGTCGAGGGGCAAACGTTTTGTTGACCTCTCGCACTGATTAGATTGATTAGCAGCAAGGAGGACAAGACCCTTCATTAGGTCCTGCACAGGGGAAACTATACATGTTGTGAGGGAAATGCCCTATCCTGGCATGGGAGACACAATATATGAGTGTACCCTCAAATCAACGAATCACTGATTCAAGGTGATGATGTTCAATTCCACCTGTATGCAGAGAGAGAGAGAGAGAGTGCCAGTGTTCGAGTGAGTGAGGGCGTTCCTCTCAAAGCTGGCCTTCTTCCACCGCGGTGAAGCCGCCGTGATCGCTGCTAGAGACCCTCTCACAGGGGGACACTACGACCAAAGTCTCCCCACCCCCAAGAGCGATTCGAGGGTTCATGCGTGTTCCTTGGCCAACCATAGCAATGAGAACAGCCAAATGTATCCAAATGACAGAAGCACCGACCATGCTCCGAAATCAGTTTCTCCCCAACTGTCCATCTCATCTCCAGGACAGACCTTCGAGCTTCGGAAGCGCCGCCGCGAACGAGACCGCCGCAGGGACCGCAGCAGGGACCGCAGGGACCGCAGCAGGGACCGCAGGGACTGCGACCGCCAACGAGACGACCGGAGCCCTCCGAGGCGCTGCAGGCGACGCAGGGGGGGCTGTTTTCCGGTCGTGCAGCGTAACACTGTGCCAGTCAGCGTGAGCACGTCAGATGGGTGGGGTTGTCCCATGGTGTCCCCAAACCATATACCTACATTGACCCCCAAACCACCCTAATGTAGGCATATATGGCATACATTGAGTGTTTGGGAGTGTAATGCATGAGATCCATCCGATATATGGCATACATTGAGTGTTTGGGAGTGTAATGCATGAGATCCATCCGAAGTCTGCCAGGTCAAAATCGCCGGTCGCTCCCACCTGGCCAGCGCTGAGCGTGCAGCGCTCGTCCTCGTCGTCGGCGTTCGCTCCGCCTCCCAGCCCAAGCCCGGTGCAGCTTCAACCGAGATCCGCTGCGGCTGAGCCGGCTGAGCCACCGCGGCGGAAGAGGGGGATGAACCTGAAACTCTATTGCAGCTTGGATTTAGGATGTATACCTGGGGGTCGAAGACAGGATATTGTGGAATATTGTGGATATGTGGACTTGGCTTGGGGGCTTGCTGGCGACGTGATGTCAATTATATAAATGCTTTGCACGTGTTGACGTCAAGAAAAAAAACACGATGAACATGGGGAGACGTCGGAGAAACGGGTCTTCACTTCACTGAATTTGGTAGCTGTTTTTCATGTCGCCAAGCATGAAAAACAGATCTCGAGGTTGAGGGCGAGGAAGGGGGGGGAAGGAGTCCTTCGTCTCCCAGAATGGAGCCTCAGGGGCTTCCAACAGAGGTTAAGTGATCTTATAGGACCCTACCAGGGTACCTATGGGATAGTCTATAGGGTTCTTCAACCTCTGTTGCTTCTGGTTTGCTTTTGGGTCTCCCCGCCGCCCGCGGAACGAAAGTGGAGGAGAAGGATAGGGCGGGCTTTGTCTTGGTCGCACGTACCGGAGTCGCCCGGTGTGGTCGAGCGGTGAAGCGAACCGGTGAAGCACGAAGCCCCAGGTCGCCAGTACGCACACTTCAATGAGTGCAAGCGTGGAAAAAAGCCGCTGGCCAGGAAGGTGTATAGCTGCTCCGGCGGAGCAGACCTGCGTGGGAGACGGCAGTCAGACAAAAATGTTCAGTAACTGGATGTTTACGGATGTATACACTCTGTCTCAGTCACATGGAGCTCCGGCACGCTCAGTTCCATGGGTGTGATGGGAGCTTGTTGCTTATGTCCAACGACCCGAGTGAAAAGCAAGAACAACACATGAAACAGGACACGCAAAAAGCCGAAAAGGGGTAGCTCTCACACAACACACTATCAAGAATCCAGAAATTCAGTACCTTTGGCCACTCAAGCCAACCAGCTATGCATTGCAGAACGAAAGATCTAAAAGGCTGTGCTCCCTTTATGACGCTGTGTGAATCTGTCTATAATTACATGCCCTTGGTAAGAGGCATGGACTGACTAACTGTTGTGTTTATTCGAGACTTAAGGACATCCCAAAGACAATATTGTAGACTCTTGATTAATCAACCCCCCCCCGGCAGGAAAAAAAAAAACATTATTCTAGGGGGCTTTATTAATCACAGGTCTACATTATTGTTCGTCTTGTCCGGACAGCGGAGAGGTGTTTCGCGACCAACGGGTCAGCGACGCTCAGACCCGTGGCATGCGTAGGTGACATGTGTAGGTGATTCGATGGACGACGTCAGGCTTTCAGACCGATTTGCGTCTAGTGGCGCATTCCTGCGAGGGGAGTGGCTCAACTGCCACTGGTCTTTGACATGTTGAGACAGGGCATCTCCACTTGTAGGACTCATGATATCTCATGATGGTCTGTGGGCTAGACATCGACCTATGATCACTAGTGAGCTCATCACTTAGACTTGGGCCCCTTGACCTGTAAGGCTAGAGGTGAAGGTAAGGCTAGACAATGTCTGGTGGAAGCATGTGGAAGCACATAAGACTAGTGGGAACTGGATCCACCGGGATTAGCTTGAAGTACTCCTAGTTCGGATGCTCCGACTGGAGCAGTTCAGGTCCTAAGAATGCTCCTGAAGAACGTGTTGATCTCTCTTTGTTTTCATATTGATGGCCTCATATGCCTGGTCATTCATGTCCTTCCCTAGTCACAAAGCCGTTTGAGAATGATCAAGCGGACACCCTCGAATTTGACCCGACGCGCGATCATTCTTCAGAACCGAGTTGACGAAGGCCGTACCACGGTTCTGTTGCAACGACCTCTAGAAACAGAGAGTGAACTCCACGTCCGATTTCTTGGTCCCCGTACCCAGACGCTCAATGGGACTGCGATATATGCCTACCTTGACCCCTGAAATCAACCACCCCAACTGATTGGTAAATACGTTGAATGATGTTGAATCTAGGAAGTTGGGATCCTTTTTTCAGTGTTTGGGGCGTATGTATTTCCCTCAAGGGCCAGCATGGACCCGCAAAACGGCTAGGTTGTAGAGTTAAAATGGTCGAAACCGCGGGTCAATTCTCGTGGTCCGTGTTAGTCAAGTCTGCGGAAGGGTACATCCCGGACACTCAAGACCGACTCAAGACCTTTGTGGCCCTCAGAATGCCAAAGACTCCATGGCCGGGTGATTCTTTGTTGAAGTCGTGGTTCTTAGAGTACCGAACCCATGTATGCTGGGTGGTTCAGGTGAATCTAAGACCATCCCCACCATGAGAGTCATTGGAAGATATTGGAAGTCTTATTGAGCATTGCTTAAACCTCCAGTCCGTACCTGGGAAGGTGTGGAACTGGGGTGGGTTTTCGTGCCATGGTCGGGTCCAGTCATGCCTTCGAAGCTGGAGGCTCCCCGGTACGACAGCCTGGTTGTTTTAAAGGACCGGACCCTGATCTGGCAAGGTGCAACTTCACCCACCGAAGCTACTGCCGGAAGTTCCTGATGCCAGGCGGCTGCCCCTCGGAGGTACAGACGGGACGACGGTTGAGGGAAGACGGTTGAGGGAAGTGTGGCAGCCTCGTGGCAATGCCACGGCCTCGAAACCCGTCGGTTTTTGGAGTCCACGCGGCCGTTTCAGGATGAACAAGTCCAAGCGGTCGGATTGGTAGACCTCGGAGAGTCCGAGCTAAGATGGTTTAACTTGCATGACAGCCACCCTAAAAGATCCCATGAGTCCGAGACTGAAGATCTTCACCCCAGAGCTTCGACTGCTAGAGGTCGAGACTCTCATAATTAGGGGTCATTCCTCCATGCCATTTACAGGCGAAAAGGTAAGAAGCTGCCTGCCAAAGGTGTAGGAGGGAAAGATTTCAGGCACATGTTAGACAAATAACCAACACCAGGACTCTCACTCCAAACGCAGTCCCAAAGCAGCCTCTACAGCAGCTGCCTGGCTTTGTCAAGCTCCCCAAAACCGAACCTGTTCCACTCATTGACATTACCAAGAGGCTATAGTCTTTCCCTAAAGATCCAAGTACCTTCTCAGAAGGTGATTGGAGGCACTGTTATGTAGGTTTGGAGGGTCCAGTCGCGCCTTCTGAGAAGGTGATTGGTCCGAGCGAGCGACGAGCGAGGCGAGAGTCGTTCGGCCGATTCTCGAGGTCCCGAGGGACCGGAGACAACATCACGCTCTGAGGCACCGACCGGGTTCATTGTGACTTCAAGCATTGGTCCATTTGTGACTTGGAGTTGCCAGAGCAAGGGCAAGGTCGCTACGAGAGCGAAAAGGAGATGTCTCTAGACTCTAGACACCTGGGAGTGGTGGTTCTATTGGTTGAATGGGTTGGATGATGGAAGCAAGAATTCTGTGTAGTAGAGGTTGGATGATGTTGCTCTCATTGGAGCATCATACTTGAGAAGCTTGTGTATTGATTTCGCTTACGTGACACAATTCAATGCCTTAATGAAGGTAACATGCTCTCGGGCCAGCAGCACTTGAAGAGTTGACCACTTCGCTGTGCACGGGAATCGTCAACTACCTCTCAATCGGGTCAGTTGCTGTACCAGCAGGCCACCCCTATGAACCATGCAAATGCCGGTGGGTTTATAGGATTTGCCACGTAATTCACTATAGGAGATTGATTTACATGAGGTGCGCCAGGTGCTTCCTGAATCGCCCCTAGCAATGGCCCATGAAAGATAACTATGTTGTGGTCCTTTTCCTTTGTGGGTTGAAACTCAGGACGCCCATCCTTAGGTCAGCGCATTCAGGACAAACACAGAGCACCAGGCACCCAAATGATCCCGGCCAGACCCCAAAACGGTGCTTATATAACCCTTACAAGAACCCCAGAGCTGTGTCCACACGGTTTGGGGAAAACATGTGGATCATTGATCCATTTCTCATTCGACCGGCAGAGCTCCACCTGACCGGTCACGGTCGCTGTAGCGTGGGCGCGCCGATGCTCGCAGGCGAGGACTATCAAAAGCGTCACTCTGGAAAGGAGCCCCGACACCACGGTGTTGCACGGAACCAAAAACTGGCTGGCTGGCTGGCTGGCTGTTGCGGGGCCCTCGTTGGGGGGGGGCCGTTGTTGGGGGGCCGGTGTCCTCGAAAGAACCGGCGTTCTTTCGGAGAAAGGCGGGCTCAGAGGCTCGGAGGATCCGGTGTTTGAGGCGGAAGCGATGGGGTTGGCGGATGTATGCCAAGTGGTGCAAAGCTTGAGCAGGTGAGAGCCAAGGAGCTCCAGGCTCCAGGGCGGTTTTCTAACCACTCGCATCCAGTTATATATAGTATATTATATATACTATAACCACTTTCTATAATTATATACTGTATAATATATTTTATTGTAACTAATACTCCTGGTACCAGAAGACATTAGTTAAGGGGTGCCAATTGGTTGTAAGGGTGTCCATCAGCCACCCCTATAGGGTCCAAACAACACCCCTTGGGGTCTTTTGGTAAATTCACCGCCCCTCACGGAGCATTCCTGTGGACAGGACTGCCCTCGGCTGCCGCTTTGCCCCTTCCTCCATGTCATTGTGCCTCTGGAACGAAGTGCACAATGGCCATTGCCTGGCGCCGGCTCCTTTGGCGATCCATGCGTTGTTCTTGACATGTTGGAAGCTGGTAAGTATTTTCGAGTTTTTGGTAGACTAGGGTTTCTGGAGACCAGTGACCAGTGTTATTGCTGGAGAGCTGGTGTTTTGGGAGCCCGAGCTGCCCGATTCAATCAGGTTGACTGCTTTCTGGGAGGCCTCTTGAAAACCCCCTGTCGTAAGAGGGTGGGGGAGGAGATTCTTGATTGACCCAGCGACAAGCTGCCAACGTAATCACCACGCAGATCACCGTCACCAGAGAGAGGCTTTCCTGCCCAACCTTTCAGTGGATATCCTGCCCGACCTTTTCGGATGGGGGGTTTACTAAAATCCAAGAGGTGGAATATGGATGAACATGGTTACTGTTGCCTTCTTTTGTGGGAAGCTGACGTGGTCAGCTTTAGACGGCTCTTAGACGGCTCTTAATTCATATCTTCAAGTACTTCCAGGTTCTACCTTACACTTCAGACTGGATACAGGTAGCTTCTCAAACTAGACTCAGGCGCAAAAGGGGCTTCCCTGATCTTGCCTCAAGAAAAACCTTGGAAACGTATGACAATGATTCAGTAATCTATAATCCAATCAGGCAACTTTCTGCCCAGTGCAGCTCACCTTGAGGCTCGCCTGGCTTGCCTGGCATGCCAGCTCTGCCAAGCGCCAATCTGCCTGGTTTGCAGCCGGTGCAGCCCTCCCTGTTTCTCCCATCCGTGGCGCCGGTCCCCGCGCAGGTCCCCGCGCCGGTGCGGCTGGTCCCCGCGCCGGCCGCGCCGGCCTCGCCGGAAAGCTCGGAGGACGAGGGCGCCGAGGTGGATGCGGCTGAGCAGGGCGAGGACTTGCCCGAAGCCAAGGAGGAGACCCATCGCGAACGTCGGGCTGGGACTGGTCGTGGAAGGAAGGAAGCCAGCTGCCACACAAGGCGCCAGTGATCGTGGATCCTTGGCCACTTTTTGGCCGAGAAATCAGCCACGAAGGGTGGATTGGGGCGTCATCAATGAATTTGCGCACCACCCAACGCTGCCACTTCGGCCGATCCAGCCATAGTGCGCTGTTGGTTGCTATCACCCAAGCACTCCAGCTAAGTATAGATGTGACCTACATGTCCATGTGGAATCACACCCATTCAGGTGCTTCATGCTTCCCTAAGTATGCATTATCATGCAGCTTTCCTTTACCTGAAGTGTTTGGGCTCATGGTTGGCTTCTTCTTAGGACCCTCAGGTCCTCTCTCACGTGGATGGCATGGACCACTTACCCATCGGTCCAGTCACGGAAGAAGAGACGCTGGCGGGTCCGGATCGGAAGGGACGGAACCAACATGGAAAACCCAGCTGAAACGTGCTGAAACATACCCAGTTGAATCCCAGTTGATATTATGTTGATATAGAGTTTGAACCCTTAAGCACTTATACATGTGGTATAGCAAAGTATTCTATCAGCGGCTTTGGCATTTGGTCGGTGCCCGCTTTGGCCTCCCAAAACGCCTTTCGGGGGTCCCGACACCTATGGGTCGGTTGGCCTCCGGAGCTCGCCTTGGGTAGGAGGACTTTGTGATCGTGCCCAAAGCTGTCGGCCAATTCACGGCAGGCGCTGCCAGAAGATATGGTTACAAGGAGAGTCACTGGGGTGGGGGCGGTGGGGTCCGGTCACTGACAGAAAGACACAGCTCGGACCTGAAAGTTATTTTGTAGAGCTCAATTGAGACGCCAAAACTGCTGGGAAATGGTATCACAGGTGGTTTGAGTGTACTTGGCTCTTGGCTCGGCAGCCACACCGCCCCACAACATGGGAAAGATGTCCTCAGAGTTCTTAGGTGTACATGTTTTTTACTTGAATGCAGAGTCGTTCTTGCTTTCCTGTGATTCCGTTCCATAGCTGAAGAGAGCCACCTTGCGTGACCGAAGCATTTTCTTGTTGAGTTGTGTTGGCCCGTTCTTTCTTCTCGGCTCCCAGGACTACGGGGACTCCGGCATCGAAGAAGACACGGATGGAGATCACGAAGAAGACCAGAGCACCAGCAGCGAAGCTGCCCGCCTGGATGAGTGGGCATGTGAGCAGAATCAATCGGTGGGATCCAGGAATCCCGTTAACCCCCGGTTCCCAAGGAATGGCCAGGAGCAAAAGCCTAGCTTGAACAGAGTTTGTTGATCAGGGCAAGATGTATAGCTGCTGCTGACTCACTGGAACTGTTGACTCTCTGGGAACCACCCTAGAATTCGATCTTTGCCTTTGGCTTTGAGGACGATGAACCCGAAGCCGCGCGCCCCAACCGGGCCAATCGACGGAAAGTCGCGCAGCGGAATGCAAAGCCGTCAGTGGTGCCTGTGGATGATGGCCTCTATGCCACTCGGCATTGTGTTTTGGATCCTGGGTTCCTCATATGTTTGTACAATGTTACAATGGTGTTTGTTTTTCCTTTGCGTCAGCTCAAGAGTTAGAGAAAGAGGATACAGAGAGAGAGAGAGAGATGAGGAGAGATGGATGTAATGTAATCAAATCTTATGAAATCACTTTCTATACAAATCTACTAACTTGCTCCGGTGCTGCTGTTTCTGCCCCGCTCCAGTGCAGGTACCCCGCCGCGCGCCGGTCATGCGGCACAAGGGACGGCGCAGGAAGGGCGACGCGGCGCCGAAAGTGGTCAAGCTGGCGACGCCAGCCAAGGTGGACTGCGACCTGGAGAAGATGAGTCAACTGTGATGGTGTTTAGTTTATTGTTGGAGTGTTTGGTCTTCAATTTGTTTCTCATGCTTCAACAACCAAATTTGTTTTCGTGTTGGCTCGGCTCGGTGTGACAGTCAAGTTTGAGGGGTCAGTCCCCTCATTTCAAGGATGAGGAACAGAATGCAAAAGCCCAAAAGCTTATTATATAGTGTGTTGGGGTAAAGGGCCATGCCGCTGCACCGGGGGACGTAGTCAAGTGATAGAGAGAGAAGAGAGAGAGAGAGAGAGAGCAGCGAGTCGAGTCATCCCACCCTTTGGTGTCCACCGTCCGCCAAGCGCGGCTTGGAGAAGTTACAAGGTTGAAAGAGGGCCTCACATGACTACCTACCCATATGCTTTCGATGGCTTTGGATGGTGCTTTGGGTCCTTGTCCTACTGTAACAGTCAGTATACAAGCAAATCACTAAAATGTTGAAGAAGCTCTGCCACTGAGCCATATCATCATCCATTGGGCCCTGGTATTAGTTGGTATTAGGATAGACCCAACATATGTTTTCCGTTGCTCTACATTCTTTGAGGATGTTTGCGAATCAACACGCAGAAACATCGGGAGGTGACATCCGCACACCTATGTGGTCCAGTCCATGCGATGTTTTTCCTTTGGCTATATAAAATTATTGTTGACAGGTGCATGTGTGGTTCTGACATGTTCTGCTTCCGCTTCTTCCAAGTCCATCGACTGTGTCGAGACAAAGTCTTTTCCCTCCAATCAGATCCAAGGCAAAGTCCATCACAAGTGGCTTGTCACTTGCAGGAGGTGCGCCATGTGTTGTTGGCCAGTGGCCAGGTTGAGGTCTTGTTTTTCGCTCCCAGGGGTTGCCTCTTTTCCCCTCAGGTGAGACGAATGAAGAAGATGACGAAGTAGGGTCCAGTCCCAGAATAGGGTAGTTGTCATATTGAGTGTGAGCAACATCCCAAAGGCCAAGCGAGAAGGACACTGGAGGGACATCGAAGGACGCTGGAGAACAGAGGGATCTCCAGTCGATCGAGGGCGAAACCACGGTGGGTTGTGTTGGTTTGAGTTGCAGCGTTTCCTGGGCGAACACCGGGGGTCTTCTTCAATTCGGAATTCTTCTTCCTTTAGGGGGCCGAACTGGAAGGGGTGTCCTTTTTGCCTGGCCGTCACGACGATGGCGGAAAGCAGGCTGATTCTCAGCCAGGGTATGGAGACTTCCCCGGCGGAAGGCCTGGGGTAGTTGCCCCGCTGAGGACAGGGACCTCCCTAGCCACCCCTAGTGGATCGGTTGGAAACAGTTTAAAACCATGAACCTGTTCTGGGGATTGGTCTCCACACATAACTCCAACAGGTGGTTAACAGTTCAACCTGCATGTTCCAAACCAATTCTGAGGGGGTCAGCAACATCCAGGTAGGACCCCACAGACAACGACGAATCATGGTGGAACGGCCTTTTGTTTCTGAAGGTTTACCCCTAGAGCTCCTGTCCCATATCCTCAGGTTCGGTGGTATTCGACCCCCCCAAGTCCACCCACCCCTGGCCCATCTTCTCAGGAGGTGGGCCAGGAGCCCAAACGGGCACTGTATAGGAACCCTGAGGCTTCGCGACGCTTCGACCCGGTGCGCTGGGCTTCGTGTCGAACGCACCTGTGTCCCCTGTGTCCTGCCCCGCTCACCTCAGTCTCGTAGGTGCAAACAGCTGATCATGAAGGTGGACAACCACCGGATTTGCCACAAAGATGAAACTGGCAAGAGCATCTTTTGGTACAGAACTTAGCTTGGGTGCAGCAGCGTGCAGCAGCCAGGGATTTCATGAAGCCTACCCAGTCAGTGGATAACCTTATGTATAACTTTATCCGGGTTCTGCAGGTTCCCCACGAAACTCCAACAGGTAGCAACAGGTTAACCTGCACTTACCCTCTCCTCCAAAGCATTCTTTTCACATTGCCTGACCTTTCAAGCTTCGAAGCACCCGGGCCGCGGGTGCTTCCTGGGCGTTCGATGCACAAGACGAAACATGCGACTCGAGGTACAGGGCCCTGCGAGGCGTGGAGAGTTCCATGCATCGAATCACTGAGACGACTTGCGGAACGGAACGAATCAATGAGACATGCACAACACATCACAAAGCTCAGGATGAGCTGCAAGATGAAATCAAGTCAATACGACATAATATGACATCAATTGAAATCGTGATATCCTACAAGTCCAAGGACCAAGTTAAACCTGGTCCAAACGACCTCATTGAGTGCTAGTTTTGCATGACCGCAGTCAAATGAGGTCCTTGACCTGATCATGGTGGCATCGAAACTCCCTTAAGCCAATTCTGGGAGCCAAGTAAGAGTATGAGACCCTGGTCCGGTCCATGAATGGGTGCATCGATGTATCGTGTGGTTGGAATCGATCGAGCCACACTCCATTCGTTCGGATGCCCGGCATCGTTCGCGTGGGGAGGCCGCTGGCAGCCCACAGAGGAGGGTGGCCTCTATGGGGGCGGAGGACGAGGCCAGGGCGGCCAGGCACCACCAGAACTGCAGCTAAAGGATCCTTGAACAAGAGGGGACACAACGTGCCCGCGTGGGTGGGTGTGTTTGTGTGGATTCGAGAGGTTCCAGGCGCTTTTTGTGCTGGGATCTATATATAGGTTTCTTGAGATCTTTGAGGTCGTTTTACGAAGCCAGGGCCTTGCCAAGCAAGGGCTTGGGGACGTGTTTGGAATTGGCGGGGCACCGGAAGGCAGACTTGGTTCCGCCAAATGCAGACTTGGTCAACTAGGATAAAAACAACTTAAGAGTTGCACATTTGGGGACAAAAACTACACCACCAGTCTGCAAGACACATGCTTCTCCTTTGGACCCTGGACGAGCAGTCATGCTTGGACCACGAAAACCGGGGTCTCTACTACCCACCCTGGACGCACTTGGACGCGACGAGAACGCGGGAAGGGACGCGGCATGCGATCGGCAGGTGGCCCAAATCGCTCCAAGAAGCAGGGCATTGGCTGTCAACATCGCTTACCCTCTGACTGGGATGTGAAGCTCTCGCGGCACCGTCGGAAAGAGCGGAGGCCGAGAGAGAGGGAGAGAGAAGCGAGCTCAGAGTCCGATTTCTTCCACTTAGAGACGTCTATTTGAGTGGAGCAAGTTGGCTGTGCAGCTGTGAGCCAATTGCTTGGGCTTCAGGATTTTGAAAGGCAAGCTGTTGAAGAAGCACTGGAAATTTCACAACGTGGAGGAGTATCTCACTTCAGAAGGGCTGTGAGGGCGGGGCTGTGACATGCTGATGCCTGGGTCCAACATGTAGCGGAACACACGACGGGTGGGCGGCCGACCTGTTTGGGGCTGACGGGCTATGTCTAACTTCCAAGCTTTTGAAAGAAAGAAGCGCCTAACGACAGGAAGTCTGTGGGATCACCTCCCCAAGTGTTTTGGTGGATTGGGGAAGCCTCTTCTTTCGTATATCCAAGAGGTGGGACAGTTTGGTACACTACACCTCTTCTTTCGCATGGGACGACATGGCGAAGTTCTTCTAGTCACCAGATATGAAAGACTTGCCTTGAGGAGGTTGGAGACCTTTGCCCTGTTTGCTCAGTCTGTAGGACATCTCTATCCCCAAGTTTAGTGTGTTGCACTTTGGTTCAGGAGTTGATGTTCCTAAAGCATTGAGCCAAAAAAAAGCAGGTACACCCAGGAAGATTAGAACATGGAACCTGAGAATTGACCGGTGGTTTCGACCATTCTCCGAATACCAACCCAGTGGTTTTGGGGTTGCATGTGGTCCTCTGGCAGGAGAGCACAAGGAGTGTGAAAAGCTAACCCATCTCAGCCCAGTCTTTGTCCTTGCGAGTTTTGACCACACTCAGAACATCTCAGATTAAACCGCCGTTTTCTGAAACAGACAAGCTAAAGCAGCTAAATCAGATTTGCAGATTGTAAACGTTATTATACCTGTTCTTGAAACGATATCGAGTTCAACATTGGATCAACTTGGTGTACGAGACGGCGACTCCAGCCATTTTTCACTGGTTTCCTCGTCTAAAGTTCTCCCTAGTTCTCCATTGACGATCCCATCGCCAAGCGATCACTGCTTGGACGATCCAGGTGTGATGGCAATGCGCCTGAGATGAGATTTGCGTCCCAAGTGCGTCCCTTGCAGCGAAATTCTGGCCACCCATCGTCGGACGATCTCCGCGGACGTTCGTCCCGTGTGAAGAGATGCGTGAACGACTCAGCGCCAGTGTGTGTTTCGTCCGCCTGGTTTGGACGCCTTTTTGACGAAAACACCAGGAGTTCGGAGTTCGTGAGGTATAGCATGGTATACCCCAAAGTGACTACACTAGTCGTGGTATGCCGTGGTGATATTTGGATACAGAAGTGGAACTCAGCATGATCCCAATCCTGTTTGAGCGGAGTTATCACCCAAGGCGAGCCCGAACTTACCACCACACAAACCTTGTGGGCGCTTGATTTGGTTGGCTTTGTTTTGGGAAGTGTGGTTGCCCGCCAAACTGCTGGCTTCATGGTGGTTATTTTGCTTGGTTCGTTCTGCTTTGTGGGACACCCACAGGCTATGGCATATAGAACCTGAACATTTTTTCCCCTGGAAGAGCATTTACAAGACCAGCGTTTCCAGATTCCGTTGTGGCCCATTGTCTCTTGATAATTGACATGTCGACATTGCCGGATATTTAGATGTAGGGGGGTGTCAATCCATTTACCGGTTGTTTAACATGTAGCTTTTATTGCTACTGTTTTACTAAATGGTTTTACAGCTTGGCTTCACATCAGCTTTACATACTGTTCTTCCTCAGGTTAGATTGTCCCTGAAACCACTTCGGAGATGGCTTGAACGAACCATCACCGCAACGGTCACCACCGCAACCGGCTCGTGGCGGACGTGAGCCGTGGAGCCGCCTCCAGGCTTAGAGCGAATCATCACCTTCCGCGGCGAAGAAGTGAACAAAGCGACCTGACTTCGCTTCAGGGGAAGAGGAGGTGGTTTACTTGGTTTCTCGACCTGGGGGAGGTTTGTCTCGAGGGGGAGAAGGTGCAGAATAAGGGAGGAACAGGTAAACATCAAGCAACACATGGAGAAAAAATGATGTGGAAGGTTTGACGTTCTTTGCATTCCCTCCACTTTGGTGAGAGCATGCAACGGATGCTGTATCCACCACGATGGGGATGTCAATCTGGCTGTGGGACGCACTGGTTTTTTGAGCTTTGGTTGTGGGGCTGTCAGCAATCTCAGTAGCCCAAAATGCTTCCGATTGGCAGACTGCGTGTATTGATCGGTGAACGAGTATGTTTGAGTATTTGGATGGCCCCCTGCTGTGTGTAGTGATGGTTCTTGCAAGGCTTACGGGGGTCACGGGGAGCCCATGTGTTTCCTGTGTTGTTCTCCATGGGCTCGCTGGAGCCAACGATTGTTTGTGCCTTTGGGTTTCGGCTGTGGGCCGTTTCGGGGCCATTTCGGGCCCCGGCAGGGCCCTATAGGCAGTGGGCTGGGACATCAAGATTTGTTCACAGTACGCTGTTTTTGTGTTTGTTTTGTGTAGCGTGGTATGTTGATGCATATATCATATATAATTATTAATATGTAATTCTACAATTCAATATATGATAAAAGTTTGAACATGTAGACAATTCTAGACGTATTCCTTTTATATACTGTATATATATATATACACTATTATTATGGAATTGCTGCTTCAGTGGCAGTTTCCCATGGCTGGATGCTTTGATGGATGGACGGATGGATGGATGGATGGTTGTCTCGAGTGGCCCGAGCAAAACACCTCCCAATGAGTTGTAATTTGATGGCTCCTTCTCTCTCGACTAGCGACGAAGCAGATGAGGACGACGAAGCAGATGAGGACGAGGACAACCTTCCGCTGGTCCGCCTGCAAGATGAGCCACGCGAGCAGGATGAGGATGATCTGCCCATTGCGGCCGTGGTAGGGATGGGTGTGCAGCCCCGCTTGCCTCGCGCCAGGCGCCCCAAGCGACGGCCCAAGGCGAAGCCCAAGCCCCAAGCCGCGGCGCCTGCGCAGCCGGAAGCAAAGCCAAAGCCTAAGCCACGGGCAAAGCGAGTGAGGCGTCCCGGGCCAAAGCGAAAGGCCGAAGAAACATGACCAGCAGGGTCCAGGGTGTTGTGCTCAAGATATGTGCCCAGATGTGCGCCATGTCATGTGCTCAAGACATGGCCCCCCTGTTCATGGCCGGATGGACCCCCGAAGAGATGATCTTTGTTGGAATGCTTAAGTGACCCTGTAGTGCTTGGAGAAGCACCCTGTCCAGACGGCACCTTTGTCTGCTATGGGGCACCTATATCGACCCCTTGGGATCCGTGTTCGTCTCTTCTCAGGTTCGGTACGAAAACGGGACCTATCCATGTCTCAGTGTCGAGTCGTAACCGTACCTGAGGTTCGGTACGAAAACGAATCCCTAGGGTAAATGGACAGGTGTCCCAAGAGTCCACATCCGAAGTGGGAAGTCGCTGAACTTGGCACAACGCCCGGTGCAATTTTTGGGGCCCTCAAGGGGCGCCAGGTCATGTACATAGTTATCAGTCAGATTTACTGAGCCAGCCAGGCAGCCAGGTCTCGAAAGCAATCAAGACCAAGAGTATCGACATATGTTTGAATAGCCGGCCTCTTCTACCCTCAGCCTATAGTGGAGGCGATTGTATACAGACTGTTGACGCATACGCTCCAGTCTCCAGAAGGGTTTTACATCTTAGTCTACCGGTGACATTGAGAGCCTCCCAGCTACCGATTTCATGCAGAGCCTCTTGTCTCACTCCTGGAGCGGATGGAGTAGAAATGTCTTAGGATGCCATGAGGGCCATGAGCTTCTGGTGCTTGAGAAGCTAGATGCAACGTGATAAAGCAAGTAACAATGAAATATGGGTGGGCTGAAGCCACCTGCATAGTTTGCCCTTTGCATCTGGAGAGCTATATGTTCTGCACCTTTGCCCCCTTGGCTCCAAGAATGTAGAATGCGACTGGATCAGTGCTAGGCCCCCGCAACTGGCTGAACTTAAGAAGAATCTTGCTCAACGGCCCAGCATCAACATCACAAGCCCCCAAAAGGGAACTCCTCAGGAACCCCAGAGCGCAGGTCGAGTGCAGCTCAGTTGGCTCAGTTGACACCCAGACTGAGCTCGGTTTAGCTCGGTTTAGCTCGAGCCATTTGAGAGCTAGACCGACCGAGCTGGGTCATTCTATATAGCCATCGTGCACCAGATCGTTGGCGGGCCGCGAGAAAAATGGGCTCATGTTTATTCATTTGTTTGTTGAATTTGATCGCTTAAACATGCTTAAACCAAGGGATTTCGGCAGAGTGACCGATTTTGGGAACGATTTTGAATGAGGCATAAGGATCCTTTTCTAGGTTCTCTGTGGGACAGTGCAAAGAAGCTCAACTCTTTACATAGCGTTTTTTCAAAACGATAGCTTCTTTGCGGGAATCAACCATTGAATATAATGTTGTGAGGTTCAAGGCAGGAGCAAAAGTGGTCATCCATGTAACGCTAATCAGGCCACAGTGAATGTCCCAGAGGTGAAGAGATGCATCTACCAGGCTACCAATTGTCAGGGTTTGTGCGCCCTCCCGATTTACTGATAGACTATACTATGGCTATACGGCTGTATTTGGCTGTCCTGCGCCGGAAGGCTTGCTGTTGGGTTGCCATTTCTATGATCTCAACATCCATTCCATCAGTGCTACAAGCAAATTGGATGCTCATAGCGGCCAGCCATCCACCGAAGCATGACACTTCTGTGTACTCATGAAAAGCTGCGGACATCTGCCAGACTGACAAGGCCTTGACACTCAAGCTACCCTCCCCCCCTGGTGGGATAGAGAGACCTCATCACCTGACGAAACCTCTCAAGCTCGGCTGTTCCAGTTCATTCCCTTCGTGCGTGTCATCTCCATCCTTGGGCTCTCTCACGTGCTGTCCCGCGTCGAGTGCAGACATCTTCACTCAATCCAAAGCATTTAGCAGACATCTTCACTCAAATGAGAACAAACTCACTTGACAGGTTCACTCAAACTGTTGGGTGACTTTGGCTTGATCCATGTTGGTCTTGCTGTACTTTGATCTACAGTCATCGGCAGAATTATAGAACGGGATTGTGGATACAAAAACGCCTTGGATTGAAGTGCATAGGCATTTTCTATCATGAACGCTTCCTGCTTGTCATGCGCATGTTGTGTGCCAAAAGCTGCACAGGATACACCTGTACTTGAACACCTGTCTATCTCAACCTGATGATGATGATGATGATGATGATGATGATGGTCATGGTGATGATGGTGATAGTTGGACAGGAACACCCTTCGCAGGTGCTTTCGAAAAAACAACCAAGCCTCCCACAGGGATCAAGAACAATGACTCCGAATGAGTTCGGTGCTTTGACGGTTTCTCCTTGTGAGCTTTCTCCAGGAGGGTTTGATGGTTTGCCCTCCCTCGAAGCATCATGGAAGTGGAACATGGGCGTGATCGTAGAGGAATCACAAGTCTTCCGGGGTCGTGTTTCACTTCGGTTCTTGAATTGAAATGGATGCCAACGACTCCGGGCGTCTTGGTGCTCCTTTGGTGACTCCCTAAGACCTTAACGATCGTTGGTACCCTAAGACTCCCGGCTCCTTCAGCAACAGCCGGTGCGGGGCCGAACGCCCGGTGCGGGGCTGAACGCCATGGTTCGGGCCGGGCTCGGAGCTCGGAGTATCCAGTGACAGGAGATGGAGGGTGTCCCAGAAAAGACGGCACAAGGGGTGTTTTTTCGGGGTTGCAGTCGTTTCAGGTCATGTCCATTTTTTCCAGGATGTTTGTACATCCTTCCACGCCATGGACTGCTGTTTTTGTTCTGCTTCCACTAGGCCAGGTGTCACTTCGGCCGCCCAAATGGGGTGCTTGGGCAGCAGCGGCGGTGAAATGAGATATGCAGAATTCCCCCTGGAACTTCCTGCCTGAAGCAGAACTCATTCCGATTCTGGGACCTTCCCTCATCTTCGGATGTCTCCCCAGCCTTTTAGCACTATAGGGCTCCAAGTAGCTCCTCACAAGGTATTTGGACCCTCCTGGCACCCACCCCAAACGCCTTAGGCACACCTAGCCACAAAAACACCCCTCCATGAGGATGTTCGACCCCAAAAAAAACACTTCAGTTCCTCTGCCGATCCTCTCAGCTTTTTGGTCCCGAGGATGAGTCCGATTGCTTGGCCACTCGAGATCAGGCGCGCGCCAGTGGGGCAGAGGAGGGTTCAGCTGTGAAGAACATGCCCAGTTCGACGTCGTGTCTTGCAAAGGCAAAGACGGCGAAAGGTGTCCAAAAAAAGGACCATTTGAGACGGTCAGTGGGCGGAGAGTTCTAGCAGCTGCGAGTCCCTTTCTTATAATTATGTCTAAATTTATTGGCCAGTCTCAGGACTGACTTTTGTCATTCCAGCCGCTGGCTGCCTAGGCTGCTTCCTCATCTCGGTTTTTAATGTTTTTTTGCACAAAGCCGAGCTTGGAGCCCATTCGCTCCTCTTGAGCTTGACATAGCTGGTCTCGACTCCTGAGCCATTTGGGCCCAAAGAAGTCTTTTAGGGGGAAATCCGAAGACCTCAATACTCTTTTGATCCCCGCGCTGTTCAGAACAGCGCAAGACACCTTCTTGGTCGAGCCGCGCGAAGAAGTCCTTGAAGGAAAATGGGACTGTTGAAGGTCGGAACGCCCTTGCATTGGGATGCTTGGCCATAGATGTGGAATGATGTGGATGTGTATGAGAAGGGAGGCCCTCCAAGCACTATAGATAGGTGATAGGTCACACTAGTAGTAGTTGGATTCCTGCTCCCATGAATTTACATTGGGTGTTCCCCTGTAGTTTCCCCTGTTTCATACACTATTTTGGCTGGATCAGGCGGTTTTGTGCTTGTCGGGTTTGCGACTACGGGGAAAGTTGAAGATTCCACAAACAAGTAGCTTTGAGTGTAGCTTTGCTATCTTGTGATTTCTCCATGTAAAAAGATTCACAGGCTGTACAGTACAATGTAATAATGAATTATATATGTATTGGTCAACCTGACCTAGCATGATTCTACTAGTCAGCTGATGTTTAATAAGATTCCGTGCACTGCAGAGGGTGTTCCTCAGACGGGTTGTGTTCATATTGAACTATGTTCAGGGTAGACCAGCGACCGGGTAGATGGCACAAAACGCAATAGGTGGCTTGCGCATGCATCTCCATCTAGACCGGAGTATGGGAAGATATGGCAAGCCCCCAAACAGCAAACCGTCGGAACCCAAGTTCAAGCAGTAAATGTCTTAACAAGTCCACTGAACAAAGAGTCCAAACCACTCAAAACGTCTTAACAAACGTCTTAACAAGTACAAAGACCAAACCACTCAAAATCCCCAAGTCCAAGGAGTTTCTGGACATGTCTGGACCGTTCCCGTGTATGTCCTTGCGGCTGAACACTGCAACAGGATGACATGCTTGAACACTGCAACTACATTCGACGGCATGGCGTGCTACAGTTCCTCTCCATTTATCGCCGCATGCAGCACCTGGAGAACGATCCCTTCTTTTATGGTGATGACGCCTGGCGGGCCTGGCGTTTGTTTGTGGCACGTTTTTGAGAGGATCTTCCGACCAAGGCATGTAGTCTTAACCAAAAATAGGAGCCACAAGAGCTGGCTTCTGTGCGAAGTGGTGCGCGCATGCTTTCCCCCTTTCAGACTTTAGGTCCGTTTGCTCAGTTTGTCCAGCCGACTGGGTGATCTTTTGCCTCTTGGCCTGAGGAACTTGAGTACTCCCTGCTGAAGCTTAATCCCAACAAAACTGTTCCTCGGCCTGTCTTAGTGCGCAGGTCAGCACTGGCTGGGTCGTAAGATAGAGAGAAGGCCGGGGTTTGCGAGGGTGAACGGGGAGTTAGTGCTGCATGGTGCCGGCATGGTTGGGCACCACAGGTTTGGTGATTCTTGTTTCTGCCTGTTTTGGATGGTTTGACGCTTCAGCACCATTTGACATGGCCGACATCACAAGTCCGTGCCTGCCTGGATCGGAGGTGTGTGCAGCCGAAGGGTGGACAAGAACGGACATGAACCAGGACCTCAATACCCCTAAGTACCTCGTCCGAAAGGTATTTGGACCCTCCAAGCCCATCCCAAACACCTTCTCAGAAGCTATAC